GTGAGTTCTCTAGTTCCATCTCCACCCAGCTGGCTTCTCCTATGTGGGCTACTCACCTGCTCCTTTTATGCAACTGAGTTTATGACCCCTGCTCTACCCTCAGGAAGATGGAAGACCGGAAGAAGGTGAGGTAGGGACAACCGTGCTGACTCACTCTCCTCCCTTCTCCTCTCCCCCGACAATGGTAAATAGCTCGTGGCTACCTATTTCTCCTTTAATGGGATTCTGACAGTCCTGGGTGAGAACAAAGTGTATTCAACTTTATCTGCAAAGTGGTCCTGGATGGAACAATCCGATTCTATATAAGGAAAAGAAATCACATTCAGTGTTATTGCTACACTGTTATCTAGAGAATGTTGCCTCCAGCTGTGAAACAAGCTTATTAACCATTCTGAAAGCCCCTCAAAGAGTCTGCTCTGCTGTTTTCAAAACAAGGGAGAAGGGAAAGAGCTAGGCAGGAGAAAGAAGGAAATAATAAAAGGATTTAATTTGGGTTCACAAAATTGAGGAATGAAGATTGTGCAAGGAGGGTAGATGCCAATTAATATGAAACTTTCAAAACAGATCTTCTGCAGGAATGAATTAGATATACTTTATGTCCTGTCCTTTTGTTTTTCCTTCTGGTTAGAAACACTTAGGTGAGTCTTCTTACGCTCTTTCTTCCATCTGGAAATCGGCCTCTTACCTCTTTCAAAACTATCCTTTGGGAAACCTCTGATGAATTTCATTTTTAGCTCAAAACAAATAAAGCACGTGATGTATCAATTTAAACTTTTTGAGATGATTTATCAGGTTCTTCACATTATTCTTATGTGGGTGTACTGAAATGAATTCAAGATAAACTTCCACAGCAGGAATTCTTACATATATAACAATCAATAGCCAATACTAAACACTCAATACTGGATACCCAATAAATGTTTTTGAAATAAACACAATTTTTATTAATTTTCCTGGAGAAACTAGTGTATATGTGTGTGTATATATATATATATATATATATTACACAAAATCTATCAATAAGAGATTGGTTAGAGGCAGGAAAAAAGAGAAACAAAACAAGTTGAGAGAATCCAGGCTTTATCTTAATAATATTAAAAAATCATGGTTCCCTACAAGAGAATACACTGCAGCCACAAAAAAAAAAAAAAAATAATATTAAAAAAAAAAAAAAAATGGTGATTTGATTTCCCCATCTCAATTCAGCTAAGCCTGTGTGTATGTTACAACGGTCTGTAGTCCCTACTGCTACCTGGATGAATGTGAATTCATATAAACCATACCAACGCCATTATGTGTAACTGGTGGTAAAACTTTATTATTCAAGTTTAGATGTAACAGACATCTTTGCTGCCTGAAGATTGTTTGCATAAGAAATACACCAAGGACATGTTTGTGAGTAGAAATGAACATGCATTATGAAAACAAAATAAAATGAAATAAAAACTCCATGTGTTGTAAGAACAGAACTATTATAGCCAACATTCTAATATTCAAATCAGGACTACAAAATGAATTTTCTTAGCAACATGAAATCGCTCCATATGAAAGACATTTTCTGCTGGTGAATATTGCTGTAAGATAATTTTACATTGGCATTTTGAGATGTTTCCCACCCCCGTTCCATCCCCTAAATTATTCATGTTGTCAAATAGTCCATTCTAAGGAATTTGGCATTTGTTACTGTGATATTTGCCTTGTTGGTAGCCATTAAGAAACTATGGTTTTATCAGCCTTGTAATAGTTTTGCCTCTTCATAGTCAACACTATAGGCTGTCTAGTTATATTTACAGCTCATCTTTTAACAAAAATGACCCCAACCTTTCCTGGCCTTTGGGAACTGAGAGTTTAAATAGGCCCCTTGGCCGCATAATAATACTTGACACTCACGTGGTGCCTTTCAACCAAGGATCTCAAAGTGCTTTACAAACAAGTACTACATTACCATTATTATTATTATTAATATTATTATTAATATATTTTAAATTTTTTCCATTTTACAGCTGAGGAACCTGAGGCACAAAGAGAAAGTGATTTGCTGCAGGTCATATTAATGAAAAACAACCAGGAGTGAAACCAGGATGCAGTTCTGGGACATATGGGTCTGGAAGGACCATTTTCTCTGATGAAAGCGACACATTATTTCCACGATGAAGTTACGTTTGCCCTTCTCTGGTGTAGGATGGAAGAAAGCTTTCGGCTTCGACAGAACCACCAATGATCATACAATATCCAGTTTTCATGTGTGGATCAATGTTGAATTTCACATTTTCTTCACCCTTGACTTGAGATATTCTGCCCTAGCATCTTCCAGAGGTCCTAATTACTGCAAATAACCATGGAGGCCTTTGCAACACTTGCACTGCTATCAGGAACACTTGTGTCCGCGGTCTGTGAAACAGCAATGGGAAACCAAAAGAAGTGCTCTGCAAAGAAGCCATGCCTTCCACCCTTGGTCAAGTCTTTCTTTGGAAAAGTAACACTGCCCTTCTTCCAAGTCCTGATGTGTGTTGTTCTATCCTCTTCTCATTTACAGTTTCTGGCTGATAGAATTCCACCTGATAGAACCTACCTTTGATTAACGTTATTTAGTTTTATATTCAGGTTCAATATCAATTCCTCAGCTTTCTCCTGTGATCTAAGGCAGTCAGCAAGCTTTCATCTACTTGCTCACTAAAGATGCCATGGCCCTCAACCCAAAGACAGGTAGCTGTGAGCTCATCTGGACTTTCGGCAAAATGGCTGGCGTGCAGGGCAAAAGCAAACCACTTGCTTTTTCGCTCCGTGTTTCCATCGCTGGATGGCAGACAGCCCCCCTCTAGAAGTGCGTTAATGTTCACTAACTAAACAGGCAGGCAGTTCAGAGGTCTCAAGACAGATCACTTTGTGATGTTTTGCAGCCATACACCAGGAGGGTAATAATTACTTGAATAGCATTGATACTCTTCAATTTATTAAGAAAAATGTATTTCCTCAGACATTTTAAAATATATATACATTTAATATTTTTGGAGCTGTATTTGCATTGGATCATAATAGATTATGTGCACATGTGCAATCATGAACATAATGTGCTACCACAGGCTTCAACAAAGCTGTTAAGAATATTTTTTTTTCTTCTCCTTCTCATTAATATTACCTTAGAAAAGAATCCCCATGCTTGTTTTCTAAAATCTACCTTTACTAAAAGAGAACAGTTTAGAACAGAACATCATTACCTTAACAGTTGATTTGTTTTAAAAAAAAAAAAAAAAAGAAAGAACATCTCAATATGTCATGTAGAGAGAATTGGCCATGCTCTTTTCCTTTTGAACGACAGAGTTAACGGGTTAACGTTTAGAGCTCCATCCTTTTCTCATATACGTAAGAGTCACGTAGTGTCTCTCAATTCACAGCCTTCTGAGGTGGGCTGGCTCTTTATGGTCTTTCTATCCCAAACAACAGTATGAATATGTAAGTGAGAGATGCTGAGAGAAAGACTGAGAAAAGGGGGAGTGAGAACACATGAGCTGGTACTGGCCTAGAGAGTTTGATGCAAAGCTCAATTCAGAATATACCCGAATAATGATTTTAAAAGACCTACAGCTTTTAAATGACATAACGATTTTAGCTAGCGTATAGTTTTCATCCTCAGGGAAGCTGTTTCCAAGAGGGAAAATTCCTAAATCATCTTGAAAGTTCTCCAAATAAAAAAAAAAAAAGGTTAAGTACCTAAGTAGGTCATTTAAAATCACACTTTAAAATTATTCAAAAAATATTAAAACAAAAAAATACCAGAGATGGAACAAAGGCTTTAATAGATTAAAAAAAAAAAAAAGGGCTATTTTAGTGTTATAAATTTTAGTCTTTTTAAAAGCCCATTCTGTCCCCATCAACATATGTATAAAAGAGAAAGCAAAAATGAAAATAATAATAAGAGGAGTATGGAGTAGGATCTATGATGTCAATGCTATCCAAGAATATTCTACTGAAAGTAGGCTGACCAAAAATATTCCAGGAACACTGATATGTATTTTCCAACGCTAGTCATTGCTATCATGTCTGAGAAAGAAAAAAAAAAAAAAAAAAGATATGCATGTCAAACATGAACAGCCTATTTATGTTTAACACACTGGAGAAATTACTGAAGAAGTAGTTTTGCCCAATACCTGTAATACCATCCAAGTTAACCAAACTTCTGGTATTTTGCCGACTTGAGCAGTCCACAGGTAAAGTCGCTTGAGAACTGCCAAAAGTGTACTTCGTTTTTATACTTTTTACTAAAAAATAAATAAATACTGTTTCGTTGTTTGGGAAATCTTCTCTTTTTTAGATCTTTAATTTCCACCTCTGAAGTCTGCCTATACATTTTGAGATGCATTCATCAAAGTTCCTAAGAAAGATCAATTATGTCATATAATTTTAATGTCAAAGCTCCTCATTCCACCTCCTTATTTAGGTTTATGTGAACATTAGAGCTACGTGACTTGTGGGATAAGAATGGGGCCCTTTAACAATGAAACCGAAGCAGAGGACTTAGTCCTGATTTCTCTCTCTCTCGTTTTAAACAGGAAAATGAAAATACAAGAATGGAAATGACAACACAACGTCAGAAAGACACTTTTAACTTCATTCACTGCAACAGTCACCAACTGGGCAAATGCTACCTGCCATCCAACATTAAGAAACAAAGACCCGGCACTGTGAAAAAGCAACAAAACCCAAACAAAACGAAACAATACAAAGCAATTGCAAATTAATGTAAAAATGGAGTGCAAATGCAACTACAGAATGCAATAAAAACATCAGTGCTGCAGATTCCAGCAGCACTTATCAAAATAATTTCTGAAATGTTTCATCTGAAACATAGACAAAGCAATAAAAAGAGGATATATGTTTATCATTTTAAGCATAACAATGTGAGTTAAGAGCTTAAAAATTAAAAAAAAAAAAAAAAGTACTTGGAATGAATAGTGCTACCCTTTTTTTTCCTAAGTAGGCATAAAAATATTTTCATTTCCTTCTTGTTTTCCATACTGTTGTCAAGAACTTTCATTGTTTCATGTTACCGTTTACAACTTTAATGCACACACACACACACACACAAAAGATATCTACCGCAATAGAAATAGTTGCTTCATTACCTTGTTTGCTACATTTGCAAATGTAAACAGCTAGGCAGAGCCAGAACTGACTCTAATGCATGATGGAATATCTTTGTTGCATACGTACACTGTAGAAAATAATTATTCAATATGTCAGGCACCATTATTTGAAATGTAATACATTAATATTTACTAGAAAAATAAGTTTTTTTTCCTATTTGTTCTCCCAACTTCTTTAATGAAATAAGTTAATCTGACAGTGCATCCAGTAGCTTGTAATATCTTCTACATCTCCGTGGCAAAAAATAAACTACTGGTTGGGACAATATAATGCAATTATGAAAGTCAGTCCTTGTACATACATCCTTGTAGCAAGCATTGAGGCTCGACTAACAGCACCTTTAACCAATTATTTAATTTTCAGTTATTTAGCCCTATTTCCCTGAGCAGTTATGCTGAGGAGCTTTCCCTTCATGGATAGTTTTACAAAGCCTTAAGTATTAAAAGTACTATGAAGACATACTTCGAAGAATCCTATTTAATGCTATTTAACTAAACCTGTATAAATCTACTGAAGGGATTGATCGGTACATATACCAACTGTCAGTCTGTGGTAACGAAACCTTAGACTCTGCCTGACCACAAAGTTTGGAAATCATATTTAACCAAAAGAAAATAAATAAATACAGCAGGTTACCTTGTGGAGAAATACCTTGTGTTCGAAACAAATTAAGCCCATGGTGTGACTTTTGTATACATCTAATCTTTTGAACTGAGGGGGATTCCTTTAGTCATAATGTGCCAAGTGAGATATGCCACCAAGAGGAGGCTTAAAAAACAAATCCCAACTGGTTCGTCACATACAAGAGAGAAATACCTGGCTAAAATTAAAAAAAAAAAAAAAATACTACGTAAGCATTGAGGACATTGTTTTTAAAAATGCATATATATTTGGACAATATGAACCTAAATTGCAAACAAAAGGACTACCGAGTATTTGAACATCTAAAGGACAAAAACAGAGAGGGTGTGCATGTGTATGTACAGGCAGGGCTAGCCAACCAAAACCATTGTGCAACCATCTGTCACTTTTCTTGCTGCTCTCTCACACCTAACCACAGCTCACATTTCTAGGTCTAAATCTGAAACACGGTCAATGAAAGGGGACTGATTTGAGGGGGTGCCATTTTCCTTTCACTGTCCTGGAGATTCCATCTCTCATCTGCCTAGGATTTCACGATACTTCTAAATTTAGGCAACAATTTATAAGTTTTTTAACAAACGGGCCAATGGGCCAGCCCAATACTGCTGTAGTATCACAATATGGAAACCCTTTCAAATTCTAGAACTTTTAGCTCTGTCTTTACAAACATAATGGGTTCGAACCGCCAACCTTTTGGTTAGCAGCCAAGCACTTTTAACCACTGCACCCCTAAGGCTCCATAATAATTACAGTCTGGTGATATTTCACATGGATCATTTCCCCAGTACATAGAAGCCAAGATGGTTTTGGCTTACTGGATTCCAAAAAAATGACTGTTTGCCATCTCTCATTCTTTCTCACTGACCATCTGTCTCACTTTTTTATCTTGGTAACCTACTCATCAAAAGAAAGAATACTAAAAGAAGGGAATTTCATGTTGGATAAGGCAGGCTCTATGAAGTTTTTTTTTTTTTTTTCCTTTCTTTTTCTTTTTTAATAGGTCTTCATAAGACATTACAAGCTATTGAATTCCCATCAAGAAAACCTATTTCTATTTAATTGTGCTAAGTGCTAAGGTTTCACTCTTTAGGTTTTCCATTTTTTTCCGCTTGTGCATTGTTCCTATGTAGGCCCCTCTGGATATGAGTTGTGAAGTCATATTTGTCCGTGCAAAGATGCTGGCATATGCTGCACTGGAAAGGTCCATTCTCACCATGGCAACTCATATGCAAAGCATACATCACGTCATCCAGAAAGACAATGCCACAGTGCACACATTTTGTTGAAAGTTCATCTTGAGTACTTCTATCAACTTTCTCTGTTTTTACTACATTCAAGGGACCTTCATTTTTTCCATTGGATGGTGCCTTGGTTTTCTCCCTGGAGGCACCGTTTGCAGTTGGCCCAGGTCTGGAATGCTTGATCGCCAAATCTAGAGGAATGTCATTGTCTGATCCAACAGCTGAAAAATGAGGAGGCAGATTGAAGGTGGGATAAGGCACATAGTTTTGGCAAGGATTTGGTAGGCCAGGCACATGACTCAAGTAGTGCGGATTCCCAGGAACGGAGAGCTTATATTTACTCCAGAACCGCAGCCAATCAGCTTCACTCTGGAAGTCATTATGTACAAAGGGAAGTCCAAAAAGTGGGTACTGGTACTTTTCAATAGGGCTGCCTGGTGGTGAATAATTTGGGTGTTTTGCAGGTCTCATGTACTTTTCTATGGGACTGCCTCTCTCAGAACTTCCTTTCCCTTCAGAGACGGATGAACTATTTCCTGGGTCTCCAGTACTTTCCTGAGGAGATTTTATCTGAATGTGCAAAGGTTGCATCCTTTTGTGAATATCCAGAGTTTGGCTGACCAGGACTGGCTGCTGAGCAGAATGGCTTTTAGTCAATGAGCCCTGGGCTTCATATTTACTCAGGCTTGGGAGAGGAATTTCTCTCTGGTGACCTTCAGTTAAATGATCTTCCGATCTCCTCTCTAACGGGCTTCCATTGACCTGCTCCTCACTGCTACCCCTTGGCTGTTTGTTGAGCTGCTCAGCCTGAAGTGCCTCTGGGTTAAGGCGCTTTCTTGTTCTTCTCCTAATTATCTGCTCACCATTGTTTTGTTTAATGATGTTTAAAGGTCTGGGAGTCTGCAGAGAACACACACACAATACATAAAAGGGAAACATTAAGAAATACATTAAACTTCATTAAAAATCCCTCACAAATATAAACCATGTTTTAGTTCAAAGCAAGGATAGGATTTATGTTATAGATTTACTAAATCTCCTCCTTTTGCTCTAAGCAGGATAGGGGAAGTAACCAAGGCACACTATGTTAGCCTAATTAAATCATGCCCATCTTTGCAGAGAAGACTGAAAATGATAATCTATTTGAAAACAACTTTTTCAAGCTCCACAGGTTTTGGGATTGCATCATTTAGTAATAAAATTGTGTAGAAAAGTTAGCTGAAGAAGTGGAAATGTGCTTTTCTGAAATATTTCTCAACTTTTGAGTCACACACTAAGATGTCAACAGGGTAACACAGAAGATATGTATTAACGACAACAGTGGAAAAATTATGCATGCTTCATATATAATTTCAAGTATGACTATAAAAATATTAACTATCAGAGCATGAATAATCAAAGAAAAACTGAATTTTAAGGAAAGAGGTAAAGATAATCAAAGCCAATAAAGTGAGTCTTTTTTTTTTTTTTAAATCTCTCTCTCTTAATTTCTCTTTCTTTAACAGTATTTTATATTAGCTATGGAAGATTTAACCTGTTAACAGGTGAAGCATTTGTTTTATGTTGAAAATCTAAATTCATGTGTGGCCTTGGTTCAAATAACTGATCTGTCACACTACTCTGTACTTAAAAGTAAATGCGGACTTTTACTCAGCTTAAGCATTATATGATTGGTAATTACGTGCACGTTCAACAGGTGTTTATACCATATGATGAAAATCCATGGATAAGACTATAATAAAAACTTTACTTGCTTACTGCAAGAACTCTAACTTTGATTTATAAAATGAAGTGACTAAGTCTGATAAAGTAGTGCCTATTTACAGATTAACAATTTTGACAGAGAATCTTTCAGTGGGCTAAATTCTGCTTTTTCTAAAAGATTACTGAAATCAGGAAATAACTGCTACATAAAAATATAAACAAATAGATACACAGATAAATAAATATATATACATATATATAAAATTTGTGAACTATTCCTAAGATGCACCTTAATGTAAGGGAATACCTTTTACATATTAAACACAATACAAAATTAATTATTTTTGGAATTTTCTATTATCACAAAGGTACTTCGAAGAAAAGAAAGATAGTATGCTTGTTCTTAGCAATTCAATTACTGGTATCAGAATGACAATGCCACATCTCTTGGATATGACACATGCATTTATTTTGTTCAGACTGTTCATATTTATAGAGTTCATATTTGTAGTTAAAAATATGTGGTATTTAATCTCGATGTTATAGAGAAATCTGAAATTTGCATTAAAACTTTTTAAAAAACTTCCATAACTTCTGGGGCAGTCTTTGACATGAAATATGAGCACAACCTTTATGCATTTCAATTATGGTTTAAAAAAGTTCAAAACTGAATATATCTTGTCTCTGGAGAGATAAATATTAAAAATAATTTTATAAAGGAGTTTTGTTTGTATCAGTGGTTAAATTATCATAACATACCACAGCAGTAGTTTAATTAATTCTTTGCCTATGATTGGCTACAGTTCAATTAAAATCATTAATGTCAGTGCTCATTAAATGGAAGCTTATTGCTGTGCTTAAACGGTGAGGGTTAAAAAGAAAGTAAAGTGATGGGGAGGAGGGGGAATCTTTCTACTAGCTACATGCTAATAACTAAGTTTTTTAGTTTACCACCAATTAGTATTGTTGGCAGCATACATTTTTTAAAGAGTACTTCCAGCGGTTCATTTATGAGGACTTTTTGTCTAAAACTGTATTCTCTGTAGCTGTAATCTTTTCACTGGATTGTGCTAAGAGCTATGGTAAAATGCCACACGAAATGAAAAAGGCAGAGAGAAACAGATTTCTAAATGGGGTATTCCTATTTTAAGGTCTGCTCTTGTCGTCAGATAAACTTTCTACACTAAGCAATATCTTTCAGAAAGTCAAATGCATATTCAAATAGGGGATTTGTGAGTTTGAATTTTATGGACAATTTTAACTAAAATTTTAGGGGAAAAAAATCGCAGTACCTCGGTGACCCATAGGAAAGAAGCTAGCAAGAGTTCTTAAAACACAAAGCACTACTGCACCTTACATACCTTCATGTATGATAACGGGACTCAGACATCCCACCTAAATACCCACTGGAAGCCCTGCACTTTTGAATGTACCCGACCTTCCTCTCATCTCCCAAAGCAGCCAAGGTGACACTTATAATTCTGAAGATAAACTGGAAAATAAGAATTCCTTCCCTGCCCTATATTTTATACTGACCATTCGAGAGTTTTTTTATTTTTAAAAATGTTTGTGTATTTTTGAAACTTTGAAGGGAGGTTTCTTTTTCCTGCCTAAATAAATTTCACTTTATTCTGACAACCATTAATGGGACTGTTACGTGAAGTTCCCAGAAATCAATCATTTTCCTCTTTTATATCAAAAGAAGCATAATGCATTACTAATGATCTCAAAGGTATCTCACCATAACATCCAAGCCCTCTTTACCATAAATCACATGTGCACTCTAAGTGACTGTATTAAACAACCCTGAGGGGGCAGGCATTGCAGATCAGGGATTGGTACTTATCACACCGCAGACCAGGCCAGTGCTGCCTTATAAAGCTTTTCCTGAAACAAACTAACAAGTTCTTACCGAGTGAAGCTTCTGGTAGAGGCCACACGCATTGCATACATATCCGCCATTTGCATTCTTTCGCCAGAGAGAGGTCTTTGTGGTCAGGCAATTGGCACAAAAAACACCCGAGCCTCTCCGCCTCTGAAATGGAAAAAAAACACAAGGTCAGAGGTGAGTCACGTGATCAGTGGAGTTAGACCAAATCAACCCAGGAGTTTTGTCTTTGGACTAGCTACAATGACAGTATAAAACCACACTGCCCATAATGAGGTCAGGTTCAATTGTGTTTAATAAGGCACCACTGATTTTCATTATAATTAAACCTACAGTGATGGATGAGGTGTGTGGAACACCAAAGGCTTTTCACAGAAACAGCTTTAACTTTTTGAACTTTGGGTTTGGTGCCTTTAATGATGGCTCCGTAATGCTGACTCCTAAAATACACCTTTTAAAAGTGTCAAAACATAAGCCGAAAGACAGAACATGGCAATATGTTTAATATACTTTGGAAAAGGAGGAGCACGTGCTACCTTAGCTTTAAAATACAGCTGAGCTTGGAATAAATGCAGCATATGAACCATTTAAAATTCAACGTGATCTGTATCTTTTTGTATGTCATTTATGTAACGTAATTAAGAGAATATAAAACATTTGATTCTGGTCTTTCGTTTGCAATTTTAAAATCGGAACGAGAACACCCTCTATTTCCCAAAGCTGACAGGACCGGTGGAAACTTCTGCCAACAAGAAGTACAGTATTACTAACGAAAACCCCTATGAGGTGCCTGCTTAAGCCAGACAACATAGTCCCATCAATGGCTATTTATCTTATTTAACTTGGACGTCACAAGCGGATTCCAAATACAAATCCATTTTAGTAGCCTGAATTCAGTAATCACGAGATTCAAAAATCATCTAAGGATATTTAAAAGTAGATAATTAGTACTGCTTGTTCCATTCTTGCTATCAAGTAATGACTGCATTAAACTTCTCATTTAAACAAAAGTCAGGCTGTATTTGTAGGCACAAACACTAACAGGCAGGAAATGGAATTCTTCTGCAGCAAAAAGCCAGTCTGCATTGCAACTTGGCTCTACTTTCTCTAGGAAGCAAAGCCTTTAATGATAAAATATCCATGGTAGATAAGGAATGGAAAAAGTCTTGCTGGAACCCAATTTTATTATAAATTTAAAATTACAAACACTGTAAGTCAAAATTTCAAGGATTCATAAAATTTAGGCAATTTATTTAACTCTGGAGTCCATACTGTAGGAGAGTGGTATCCCTGCCAAGAAAATACAATGGTTATAATTGTACTCTGATACATTTCAAATGGAAAGCTTTCTGCAGACATAATTTTGGCTTCAAGACTGGAACACTTTCTTGGCATTGAAAGGGCATTTGATTCATCGGGTGTTTCACAATGTATCACTAAAAAGACCTGGTGAGCAGCCAGTTCCCTATAGGGTAATTTTTCCATCCAGATGCAAGTGCTATCAGAGGCCCTCGTCAGCTAAACTAATTATGATCTTGCAATTGCTGATGCCTGCTCACTCTAACATTCGACATCCTCCATTAATCATCAATACAAGGAAAATGAATGAAACGTAAAGAAATGAAGGCTGGTAAACTGCACAGCCATAAAAATCTGAAATGAGAGCAATAATTTAACAAGATTGGGGGAATGTTTTCAGTGAGCACAGTCAGGCTAACAACTGCCCTTTTAAACCAAGAACACGATTTCATTAGCGTAGCAGGTTGTGCTACTTTAGGTGATGTAATAAAAGCTAGATTTTTCACAAAGATAATCCCTGGCTCCCCTTTTTCTCCCTCCCCCCAAGTCAGAACCAGGAATGTACCACATGTTTCTAACTCTCAGTAAGAGCCACACCAAATGGTGGATGGGTGTCAGTCCACAACAAGTCCCAGTGGGGAACTCCTGCACAAGTAGAGGCTGCTGCTTCCTGAAAGTCAATGAATTATTAAAGGTGGTGTGTATCAAACACTCTGGGGCCCCCATTATAGAAAGTAAGTTGGGCAGCCTAGTTAGGTTATAACTGTGAAACTTCCCCGGGGCCATGCAAGTCTTTTTTCCTAGATCTAAATAACCAAAAACAAAACAAAACAAAAACACCAAGCCCACTGCTGTTGAGTCCATTCCGATTCATAGCGACCCTATAGGACAGAGTAGAACAGCCCCAAAGGGTTTCCAAGGCTGTAAATCTTTACGGAAGCAGACTGCCACATCTTTCTCCCACGGAGTGGCTGGTGAGTTTGAACTGCCAACCTTTTGGTTAACAGCCAAGCACTTTAAACACTGCGCCACCAGAGATCCTGATCTAAATAACACATCTGACAAATAAACACCAACTTCATCCACATGAAGGCAATGGAAACGTCCATTTGGAAACTAACCACATATATATGGCTGAGTCTCAAACTTGAATGTGTAACCATTCATTCCAGCCTGCTTTTCTTTCCTTATGCCCTGGGTGCTTGACACAGCATGCCAAAGTGGGTGTAATCCTGATTTCAGCGAGTGTTTCAACCCTTGCACAATTTTGTGCTTAATTCTCTTGCAAAGAAAATGCCCTCCATTAGTTAGAGGGAAAATCCTGAAATTACAGCACTAGTTTCCACAGGCACATCTTGCTTTAAGCAGTCCTTGTGCTCCAGTAAAGGCTGTTGCATTTTAGGTGAAGTATATCTTATTTTAAATATATCAGGGGCACTTTGAATTCACTTACTCTGAGAGTCAGTATAGCATGGAGGTTAATAATCAGATTTAGGACTCTGACTACTTGTATTCAAAACTTGTCTCTGCCCTTTGCTAGATGCAACTCTGAGCGAGTTGCTTAACCTCTCTATGCTTAAATTTTCCATCTCTGAAGTGTGAGCTGCTTTGAGTACTATGCCGGTTAATGAATGCAATTAGAACAGTGCCAACCCGTTGCCGTGGAGTTGATTCCAACTCATAGCGACCCTATAGGACAGAGTAGAACTGCCCCTCAGGGTTTCCAAGGAGCGGCTGGTGGATTTAACTGCCGACCTTTTTGGTTAGCAGCCGTAGCTCTTAACCACTGCGCCACCAGGAACAGTGCCAGGGACATGGAAAATGCTCAGTAAGTAGGCTCTCTGTCAAGGGGATTTTATTCTTCTCTTGTAAAAGAAAAAAATTTTGTTAGTTTTATTTTTTAAGTTCATCTCCTCAACCTAGTACTGAGCATTTGAGATATGCTTAACAGATATTGTTGAATATTATCAAATGTATTTCATTGGTACCAATCTTATCAAATACGAGAATGGAAAGTTGAGTCAGAGTGAAATAACTAGGTGTTCACACCTAGAATTCAATAGGAGCTTGCTTACGTGGGGGTGGAGAGTGGGAGGTAGGTGAGAAGTATTTCACACGTAGTTACCTCCCATCTAAACAAATTTAGCACTTTGGTAAGCATTACAGAACCTTATTTTTGGTGCACGTGGAATTCCCAGAAGCAACAGAGAAGGTGGAAGAAGTTGATAGCGTCCCTACCTGTGTGACCGTAGAACCATGTCATGTCTTTCAAAGCTACAACACAGATGAAAGGTCTGTGTATAATGTAACCTGGCTGGACACAGTAAGGCATTTCTTTTGAAGCTATCAGCATCCTTAGCCCAATCAAGTGCAGAGAAGAAGTCTGCTGCCAAAAAAAGGCCAAGGAGAAGCCCCTCCCACCTCACTTTTTAAAAACGTTGGCCTTGTTAAAGAAAAAGAAAAGCACTAAAGACTTATTTCATTCATAGCTTATCATGCATGACAGAGTTTTAAAATATTTTGTCATTCTCCTTTATACTATGTTTGTTTAGGACAGAAATCACGTCTCCTAAAATTCATCAAATATTCCAAGTTATAAGCTACCCAGGTTAGTGCTCTGTCTTGAGTGGCTCATAATGAATAGAGTTGAAAATAAACTTGCTTGCTATTACTTTTATCATTAGCATTCACTCTTAATTTTAAAACAAACAAACAAAAAGTTTCTGGTGTTCTTTTTTAATATATTGTTTAAATGTCTTCCAGTTAGGTTGACAAATACATTTTGTTGATGGCTGATCATGTTGTTGAAGATAAAATCAAGAAAATTAATTTTCCAGTCCTCTAAACTTATTTCTAAGAGACGGCTAATGCCAGGTACTTGCTATAACCACAGAAATAAGGTGAGGTAGAAGTGACCTTTATTTCTCCTCATATCTCCTTGATTTACATCAGTACACTCATACATTGCTGATGGTTCTATATGCGTATATATGTATGTGTGTGTTTAAATAATATGATTTTTCCTCTTTTCCTACAAACTGTTTTTAAGAGATAGTATTTGTATTTGATCTTGTGCGGGAGAGGGGAGAATTATGGGTCATACGTTTAAGGACACTGTTGGAAGAGCAAATCACAGGAATAAGGAGCCGGTGGACAACACCAGTAAGAGGGGCCCTGGTACTGCAGTGGTTTAAAGCACACTTGACTGCTAACTGAAAGGCTGGAGGTTCAAATCCACTAGCTGCTCCGTGGGAGAAAAATGAGGCAGTCTGCTTCTATAAAGACCACAGCCTTGGAAAGCCCATGAGGCAGTTCTACTCTGTCCTACAGGGTCCTATGAGTCGGGATTGACTTGACAGCAATGGGTTTGTTTTTTATTTCGTTTGTTTGTTTAACACCAATGACACAAATGAGGGGCATATTTAGCATGATTCTTAATCTCCTCTCAGACTGAGGGAAAGCTACGCTCACATATCTAAAGCCACAACACCGTTGTAGCATTCTCTGCCCCTGAACTTCTCTAAGTTTACCTTCCACTTCTATTTAGGTGGGCTCAATGAAGAGCAACAGTGAAGAAAGGTCAGCCAAAACCCCAAATATACACGACAGTCACCTCAACTAAAAATTTCTACAGAAAACATTCTGGAATCAATAATTTGATGAAATTACTGTTTTTCCACCAAATTTTTAATGATTTGACTAGCAGTTTTTAGGTCGTATTTGTGCTGCGTCTATGCTATTTTCTGTTGTCTGGTAATTTCCGGTGTGAAAAAGGAAGGGTGATGATAAGCACATTTCATTGCAAGGAATTTTGAGGCAAAGTTGGTGACTGGCCTACCAAGTGCTTT